GGGTCGTATTATACATGAGATCGTATTATACATGAATAAATACGGTAAATTTAAGATTTGTGTTTCAATTCCAGAAAATAATCAAATTTAAAAGGAAAAAGATAATATTACTTGTCCTCCCAGGGGACGTCTGCCCTCCGAGCTGCTGGCTTTGAGTAGCCGTAGCCCCCCAGCAATTTAGTTGACTAGCCCTGCACTACAGTGCTATGGATATTAAAAATATCCCACACTGCGTCATCATCAGACACAAACAAACTGTCACGTTTAGGAATTTTTTTCCCTCTTTTGTAAAACTCATTGAAGTACAACTAATGTAAAACATAATTAAAGCACAAGTAGCAGTTTATTAATGAAGTTTAAACATGCTGACAGTCAGATTTTGACTTCCTTTCATCAGATTCAGATGGAGCTGAATTGGTCAAAACATTATGACCAGCAGCCTATTATTGAGTGAGTCTTTGTCATGTTGTAAAATATGTCTGATTGGTCAAAACATGGACAGAAAGCATATAAACGTGTCCCTAATGTCTTCACAGTGATGGAAGGAATAAACTTTTTTATTTTTTGTGGATAAATTTAGTTTTCTAGTGGAATGGTCTCTGATGAAATCAAAAAATGAATGATTTTGTTGTGCCTTTTGGACCACTTGCTGTCCTGCAGGGAGAACATCTTTCACTTCTGGTGACTACTGTTTGTGTCTGGATGCTGGTGTGTGTCAAACGTCTGTGTTAAAGATCTAAGTGAGTTCTGTGAATCAAGTTTTAAAACATAAGCATCCCTGATCACAGCATCTTAATTTGTTATTATCAGTTAAATAAATCATTTCTATCTGGTTTCGGCTCTGTGGGATGATCTGAAACGATGACAGTAATCTCACCAGCATGGTTGTGCGCAGGTCAAACTTTTCAGCCACCTGAGTGATGTAAGTATGAACCGAGACCAGCTCCTCCGTGTCCATCTCCTCCACCTCCCTGATGATGTCCGAAACCCACTCGAACTGCCGCTGTGTCCGAGTCACCCAGATGAAATACACCTTGGAAGGAAATTCTAAATGTTAAAGCGGCCTTTCAAGGTTAAACCAAACAGGTGAGGTGTGACTTTAAGTCGTACTTTTTTACACAGAAACTTGGACTTGACGGAGGATTTGAAGACCAGGTCTTTGAGGATGGAGGCAAATGGTGTGACTCCTATTCCTCCTCCCACCAGAACGGACACTTCAAAGTCAACCCACTCCTGATGGCCCTCGCCGAATGGGCCGTCCAAGTAGAGCTTCAACAAATGAAATATAAGCACTACTGATCCAAAAAATCTGAGGACACCTTTTAGTCGTAATGGCTGACCTTTGGATAGGCTCCAAACTCCAGGTAGTTTTCTTCGGTGTAAAGCTCTCGAAGTCGGTTGGTCCAGGGTCCTACAGCTCGGATGTGCAGGCTCAAGGTCTCCTCGTGAGGTGCTGATGTTAGCGTGAATGGGTGGTACTCATCTGTGCCCAACATCAGGCACGCTATACGAACCCACTGGCCTGAACGGTACACAAACCCTTGTGGCCGCTTGAACTCCAGGTGGGTCACTCCTACAGGCAGGTAAAGAAGCAATAGTTACATTTTCTGAGCCAAAAAAACAAGAATTCAAAAACCAGAGAGATAAATGAAACAATATATATGTTTATGCATCACCCGAAGGCAGAAGCTCAGCTCTGACAACAGGAATCTCCACTTTCTTCCTGCTCAGGCTGATCAGTTTGTCCAACAGGAAGAGGAGGGCCGGAGGGATCAGGTAGATGTGGAAACGAGGCTCTTGGAGCAGAGCAAAGCTGCCGTGTATAACTGTCTGTAGGATAAACACAAAGCAGGTATCACAACACCTTAAATCAGGCTGTAAAGATTATTAAAGACAAGAAGTACTCACCAGAATGTACACGACAACATAGAGGTAATGAGTGATCCAAAATCCACGGAAACTGATCCGACGGAAATACCGAGAGGCAAAAACGTACATGAACGCAAACGTGAACAGAAGCAAAACACCAGTAACTCCTGAAAATGATTAAGAGAGGAAAAGATGATTACGATCTAATCAAATTCAAAGATGCAAAATCTAGAATCAGACCATGCTTTACCTGGGACAGTCTGAAAGAACCACCAGTACCACTTGGGAGGAATCTCAGCCCTAAAGGAAAACATAAACTGTCACAATCCCGATATTATCTTGTTGCGTTTACAGACTTTAATGCTGAAATGTGAAACGTTACCCGTTGTTAGATAAGACTTTGGGAAACAGACAAGAAAGAATGCTGAGGTCGCTGATAGAAAAGACGAAGACGTTGACCACGTGGCCCAAACTGTGAGCAACTGCAACGAGACCAGAACCACAAACAAAACGTAAACAAACAAGATGTCTGCAGAAATAACCAGCTCCTTTTAGTTTTCAAATCAAGCATCTCTGCTTGCTTCATCATCTTATCCCTTTTAAGTCAAAAAGACCTTAAACCTCCTTTGTCATGGCAGATGGCTGAAGTTGGCCTGCATTCATTTAAAATGAGAAAAGATTAAATATGCCCCGACAGGATAAACACCTGAGCTCTGAAGATTATGAACACATTTGTTTCACTGCTGTTACTGAGATAACAAACCTGACAATGTTGTGCTAAAAAGAGATGGAATAAAAAAGTTGTTTTAAAAGTAAATATGATCCTTTGTAAAGATTGGTTAAAATCCACAATAACAAAGATCAACTTTGGATGAACTGATCTTGATTCATACCTCAAATTCATAACAGAACACTTGTAAAATCCAGTAAAATATCTTTGAAAAGCCCCCCCCCCCCCCCCCCCCCTGAGAGGATGATGGCGGTCATGGCCATGAAGCGGTGGAAGTCGATGGCAGCGTCGAAGGGGACGTATCGGCTGAGGAAGGTCTCTCGACACAGCGTGATCAGGTTGCGGCACACGGTGAGGAGCATGTAGGGAAACAGGAAGGAGATGGCGGCCGCTGAGCCTCGAGCGACAATGATCCCCACCACGGAAGTCTCTGGCATCCCGGTGGCCCCCGCCTGCACAGCGTAGTCTGAACACAAACCAGGAAGTGCACTGATGAAGACCCTAAAGAGCTGTGATCCATCAACAAGACACAAGGTCTTCCACTCACAGTAACACCTCTCCACGGTCACACCAGCTGTGATGCCGTAAACGATGATGAAACTTATAATGTGGCGTCGATAATTCTCAACGAAGCGCTTGAACTGCTGCACTTTCTGTCGGATGGGATTCCTGATGTACTGCTCTCGCTTCGGCTTCACGTAGACATTCGGGGTCTTGACGCTTACCCTGAGAACGAGTGAATCTGTGAGGTTTTGTTCTGTAAATAAGCTTCCATTGCCCTGCTGTCTGTTTTGTACGGAAGCATAGATCTTTCACACGCCATAAATTCTGTTTGGTTAAAAACTAGATAACCACATCGTTATAACATGCTACCGTTTTATGCCATCACAGCACTTGATGGAATAAAACAGGGACTCTTTACGCATTTTTACTAAGATCTATGATATGAAAACAAAAAAAGAACAAAGAGGATCTTGGGGTTTGTGTTCAGGCCTGGTCCAGCATCACAGCACGTAACACTGCAGCTGAATGCATTCAATATCTGCTTTCAGACACATTTAAATTCAAAAACTCTATTTAATGCGTTAAAACAAGATGGACCGTTACCTTGTTTTGACAAGGAGTCTTTATTATTGTTCTAATGATATAGTTTTCATGTTATAACCAGACACAGCTCAACAATAATTTACTGACATGCTCTATGTTTTTGTAGTTTGGAGTATATTTAGATGAAGAACACCCCAAATAAAACTACAGTGGAACTGCTACATCTGCCATAAATAATAAAATAAACAAGAAAAATATAATTTTCTGCAAACGTAGTGTAAATGCAGAGCGCTAAATGATGTCACTGAAATGTTTTTGAATAAGCTACACTGAAGTGTTAAAGTTAAAACAAGCAGAACAAAAGCTAAAAGCAGAATATACAAATTTTAAAAGCAGCTGAACAGAAGCTAAACTTGGCAAAATATTAGCTAAAATGAGTAAAACAATCTGATGCTACAGCTAAAATTAGTAAAACTGTAGCAACAATTAGCTCAACATTCTTAGCTAAGCAATATTTCTCAGTGTATTTGAGGTATTAAATAAAGAAAAATATTTTGAGAAGTGTAAAACTTTCCATATCCATACCTCTGTCGATTAAAGCTAAATGTTTTAGTATAAAAATGGTTCAAAGAACACAAAAAATACAGAAAGTTTGAAAAAATTTATATGAAAAAAAAACTATAAACAGAAAAACACCTAAACGTTTGTTTTAAACAAAACTAAACCAAGTAAATGCAAAAGAAATAAAAATATATATATTTTATAGATATGTTTATGATGTGCCAGTAACCATTTAATATCAACAAATAAATGCATCAATGTAATAAAATCCCATTGAAAAGCAGAAAGTGCTGCTGAATACATATTAACATTTACTCATCTCGGTTCACTTTAAGTTGTGTAGAAATAAAAATATGTTCACTATTCTTTAGATTCTGAGTAATTTTACAAAAGCAAAAAAACTACAAACATAAACATACTTTTTCCGTCTACGTAACTCCAGTCCATCTGTTCTGTTGGTGCTGCAAACAAAAAAATATACAAAAGCTTCATTTTTATGAATATTCTTTTAATTTGTACTTTTCTTTTTTCCTTTAAATTTTCTGGTGCTTTTTTTTTCTTGCCTGTTTGCTGGACAGATGAAAGACACTCGCTGGTACTGGCTTAGACGTTTCTTTTCCTGTTTCTCCACTCCTGCACACACACACACAGACACACACACACACACACGCACAGAAGAATAACCAAAGTCAGTGAAAAAAAAAAAAAAAAAAGTGTCCTGAACTGAACTTTTCCCAACCTTTAACGTTGAGCTGAGCAAACTGCAGCTCCTTCTCATGATCCTTGAGGAGGAAGTGAAAATCGGCCCAGGAGATTTGCTCCTTGTTATCAAAGCCCGCCGCCTGCATCATGGCCTTGATGCCGTCCTCTGCCTGTTTCTTTGACAGCGCACTGTTGGAGAGCTCAATGAAAGACCTGCAGAGAGTCAAAGGAGTGAGGAAGACCCAACAAACCAACAGAGGAAAACTCTGTGCAGCCACAACAGACAGAAAGAAAACCTGAGCATCCTGGCAAACTCCTCTTTCGATAAGTAACCAGTTCCACCGATGTCGTTCATGGAGAACATCAGTTTGGATTTTTCCTCTGGAGAGCCTGCAATCAAACACACATCTTCACATGAGCATAGAACTCATAAAACTATCTGGATAAATCTACAGGGTCTTTAAATCCTTAAGTAAAAATGAATATTGTAATTACTTTATTTAAATATCATGATGGTAAATGGACTGTAATTTTATACTGTATATACCTTTCTATCTAACCTGGATACTCACAAAGCTAATCTAGATAGAACTAATCAGCGCTTTAGATCTCACTCACACACTGATGAAACACATCAGAGGACCCCTCTGACCCTCGGCTACAGTCGTCCAACAATCTGTGTACACTGTTAATATTTCAACGGTTCTTTGTGTTTTAGGTTTGGCTTTGTTTTTAAGTAAGTTTTTGTTTTCTGTATTTTTTGATTCTTGATTTAACCTGAACGGACCTTGAAGCTCAGAGGAGTGAGAAGTATTCAGATTCATTACTCAGAAGCAGAGATACAAGGGTTTAAAAAGATTTATGTAGAAGTTGAAGTATCAACTCAAGTCTTTTATTCAAGTGGAAAAGCAAAAGTTTTAAAACTAATTCAAGTATAAAACCTCTATATTTACAAAGTATTTGTACTTTGTAACTTGACACCTCTGGTTTTCCCCTTCAGTTATTCTACCAGTCTGTGTTTTTGTACTTTATTTAGGTGACTTATTTTGTTATCCGTGTCTTTTTTCTCATTTAGCTTCCTGTGCCATGTCTCATTCATCCTCAGTCAGATGCTATGCTCAACTGTCCCCAATCAGTAATTAACCGAAGAGCCCTCACTTTCCATTTACCTCTGCTCTATATATTTATATTTCCAGCCTCAGCGGCGCATTATTGGCCAGTCTTTTGTGCTCCCCAGCTTTTTTGGAACGTGTTGCAGGCATCAAATTCAAAATGAGTGAATATTTGAAGAAACCAAAACAAAACAAAAAATAAAATAAGTTTATCTGTTTGAACATTAAATAACTTGTCTTTGTAGTGTATTCAACCGAATATTGGTTGAATTTGTAAATCCTCATATACTGTTTTTTAAGGATGTCCGATAATATCGGCCTACAGATATTATCGGTCTGATATTAGCATAAAAATGTAAAATCTCTACATAACGGTATCGTTTTTTCTTCTGATAACAAAAGCATGATAAATTAATGCCTGGATTTGACCAAATTGTGTTAATAAATGCTTGTGGTCCAGAGACGTTCGCCTGTGCGTGATTGATGACATCATCAAACTGGATTATCTCAGGGAGAGCATGATCCAAACTATTGTTTGAGACAAAATGTTAAAAATAAATACGGCACTTTTTCCTTAACTTCAGTTAAATGGTTTTTTTTTTGTACAGACAATGTTTCCCTATGGAATGCATCCAGTGGGGTATCACAGTCAAAGCAGGCATAATGTCCCTGACAGGAGATAGGTGATGTCACCTTAATATCGGGTTGTAATATCGATTAATATCGGAATCGGAAGTTAAGTTGAACAATATCGGCATATCGAATATCGGCAAAAAGTCAATATCAAGCATCTCTACTGTTTTTATTCATGCAACATCCCAGCTTCATTGGAATCGGTTGGTTTTCTTAGGGTAAAAGTGCCTGTTGGCTGCTAAAGCTGTCTGGCTCCATGTCTTGCTGTATGTTGGCTGCTGGTTTGTAATATTTTGTGGAAATTTGCCACCAAAACATATCACAAACGCAGCTTATGATTTACTGCCTCATAAACCTTTGAATCAGTTTCCAATAAAGTGGCGCAACTTCGACGGTTTAAAAGTTTCACGTGACTTTTGCCAAACAAATCAAGTTTCTTCAGTGTTGTTTTCTGATATACTGTACAAGAACTAAAGCTTCAGCTTCAAACAGCCCATCTCTAATGAACATTATTACTTTTACCCTACAATAAATAAACCTGGCACAATAACTGTCAAACAAAATATGTGTTGTTTTGATTGAGAAGCGATAAAGTGATTTTACCTTTCATAAAGATAACGATAACATCAAGGAACTCCTGAAAGGAGAGGTAACCGTTCCCATCTTTATCAGCCAGCGTGAACATGGAGTCCACGAACAAGGAGTCGGGCTTTAGGCAGAGCGCGTCGGCAAACTCTGACGCCGTCAGCTCGCACTGAAGCACCTCTCTGGCTCGCTTGCGAGAAACGCCGCTCAGATCTCCAGCGTCACACTTCTCTATTTCCAAAACCTTAAGGACAGTGAAGTACAGTGTTATTATTTGTGACCATAGCTTAATATTGTTAACGTCAGCTGAGCACGTCATCACGGATGAGGCCACCGTCCACACGCCAACCAACAATTAGTTCTTCTGGCTTGGGGTGGCCCTAACCTGACCTCAAACATGAAATGATGACAGTTCTGTGGCGACGTTTGAAGCAGCTCCTGCTGTCAGAGAGCAGAAGGTGAGGTAGATGACCCGAAGCTGATTGTACCTTAGAGAAAGCGTGGCGAATGAAAGTCTCCACAATCTGAGCCCTTTCCTGTTTGGTTAGCGCCTCCTTCAGCAGCTCCTTCTCACTCATCTCCTTCACTCTAATCTCCTGCCCGATGTCTGCCACCTCCAGGCGCAGGTGCCTGACAAACTCAGTCCGTTTGCTCACGTCATCGAAAAACAGGACCTGAAATGTGCAGACAAGGGGGGAAAAGATAAGCGAGACTGGAGGAACATAAAAGTGATGGAGATCGGGTATATCTGCAGAGTCATGCTTACACCGGTGAACTGTAAAATAAAAAGCAAAGACGAGTTCACCTTAAAGTTAAATCTGGACAATAAAGAATCCTTTCTGCAGAAGCTTGCAGAAAGTCCTCCTTCCACCACTGGAGACGGAGTATGACTTTTGAATCAATCGGCAGCTCGAGTACTAACCAGGTCGTACTCCTTCGGTACTTTGAGCAGCAGAGCTTTGTGGTACCGGTCGTTGGAGAGAAGGACATCTATGTTGTCCTGGTAGCCCAGATTGAGGCAGCGGTGAGAAGGCCCAGATCTGTCAAAGACCTGCAGTCGCCTCTTTTCGACCTCCACGCTCACTGGCTGCAGCTGGTTTTTATGGCCCTGCCACTCGTATGCTGCGGGGAACAAAACAGAGCGGGAGGAGAAACATGAACAGACTCTGAAACACATCAAGGAAAAGAAACACTCTGAAGTTTGTTTTTTTGATTTTCATTTGCCAGTTACTCCTGTAGTTCAGTGCTAACATGTTGACACTTTAAAGGACGTTATATCTGTTTATAATTACCTTCTACGGAGGGGAGAGACTCATTTTCTTAGAATAAGACACAGAAAATTACAATTAAAGCATACAGCTGTGTTATTCCTAAAAGTATATTATTGAACGTTTGCATCAATTGCATTTGTTTGACCACTTTATATGCCTTTTTTTGTTTTTCTGTTTTCCTCTTACCTCATTTGTCTGTCTCGAGCCATTTACCATCATCTTTTACGCTTGTTTGTTTTATCTGTGTTCTTTTTCAAGATACTTTGCAAAACTGGAGATGAATTACAATGAAATCAAGACCTACTGAAGTGGCACAAAAAAAACAACAAAAAAAAAAAACAATGAAATCAAAACCAGGGTTCCTACAGCTTAAGGCAAGTTAAATTTAAGACATTTTAATTAATGCCACTTGAAATGAAATTTAAGACCAAATTAACCAAAATCAGTGACAATTTCACCCAAATGTTTATTTTAACAAAGCAACGAGCTGTGAGAAGCATTCAGTAAATTATTTTAAAAATAAATAAAATGTTTCAAACTATTTTAAGACCTCTGAATGATTTATTTAAAACATTTTAAGGCTAATTAAGGCCTTAATTTTGGATTGATGAATTGAATGTCTTTTAAGACTTTTTAAGGATCCGCAGGAACCCCGAAAACAGTATAAGGCAAACAAACAGTAGATTTCTGCAGATTTCATACCGGTACTTCCCACGGCTGGCTCCTCTGCCCGGTCACCAGCTTTAACCTTCCTCCTCTGGAACTTCCTGTACCTGTGCCTGCGAAGAAACGCCACCATGCAGGCCACCAGGTAGCTCACTGTGAAGGTAAAACAGCCAAAATGTTTCACAATTAAACAGCTGATGAGAGCTGTCGTGGTGCTGATGTGCAGAAGGAGAAAGTACGACACTGACAGACAGGGAAGAGCAACAAAGTGATGATGAAAATGGAATAGCCTGCACGGCTCCCGTCAAAGTAGTTCAGTTTTGTGGCGTTGGTGCAGGGTTGCAGCAGTGATGCGTTGAGCTGCGTGGGCTGAGGACAGGGGTCACCTGTGGACCAAAGACACAGCTTTTCCGTATCAAAGAATATTTTAGGTAAAAAAAAAACCTAGTTGTGTCATTAGACATGTAGTATTACCATCCCTCCAGAAAAAGACATTTTTCTGTACATCAGCGGACTCTGCGCTTGTGACCGCAATAAGAACATCATGATATGTGATGCTGCGGATCACCTGGATCTCCTCATCTGTGAACAAACTGAACGTGAGAGAAAATGGTGATGAGACTGTTTAAAAAGGCAACATTTATCACAAATATCTCTAAAGTTAAACAAGGATTACCCATTCTGTTTGTTCTCAAACCAGAAGCGGTCTCCGTTTCTGATGCGTTCAAACTGGTCCAGGATTATGGCAGAGAAAACCGGACCGGGGCCGTCCGTGGACTCCAGCAGTCCTCCAGGGAAAAGCTCCAGTCTTGAGACGTCTCCGTCGTGAAGTTCTGAGACACTGCGAAGCAACTGTTGTAGCAAAACACAAAACATTTAGCTTATGGAGTTAATTAATCTTTTTTTTTTTTTTTGATGAAGTAACTGATGAGTTAACCTGTGGGTTGGTTCTGCTGAGGTCAGGATTGATTTCTTCAAACGTGCTCACAGGAGGCAGATCCAAAGCTTTTCTCATATTATTGTAACTCTGCAGACCAAAGTCTCTTCCTCTCTGGATGGTTACAGCCACCAGGTCTGTGCGCGTGAATCTTAGTGGTCCGTACATGTAATCTGGGAGAGAGGAACTCCCATCAGAAATGCACGGTTTTATTCTGCTGGTAGTGAATAATACACAGGCAGCAAACCTCTCAGGTCCTCCACAACAATGCTGTCTTCTCTCTCTGCAACCTGAGAAGCCATGCCCATCAGGAGATCGTCCACATCCTGACCCGTCTTCACGTTGAGTCTCTGGAGGAAGCAAAGATGAGAGTTTCAGCTCGAACATGAAAACAGTCAATTACAGTAGTTCAACAAATGCAGCGGAGTGGATCGGCTCATTTGCCTTATTTTTATCTGCAAATAAATGTTAAATGAATAGAGCTGATAATGTGATATGCAATTAGCTGTAATAACAGTAGTATATAGTTACGTAGCTGTCAAATAAAACTAATTAAACATACAGAATCAAATATTAGGCATACAGTAGAGCACATGTGTGGCCCGCCAGCCGTGTTGTTTTTACTTAGCATGAAAATTGTTTCTTATATCAATGGTAAACTTTAAATTTATGATTAAATGCAACAAAATAAATTTTATAAAAATAAACGAAGTAAAAATTAAAATGTAATAAATTCCTGTCCCTGAGCTGTTGGTTTTAAGTAACTGAGCAATTTAGTTGGATAGCTCAGTATTAATATCTGAAACTAAGCTGCTTTGAAGTCAGCATCAACCATAAACTAAATCTACCTTTAGTTTTAATAATATTTCTGTATTTATTACAGATTTAGTCAGTCATACACTTAGTTCTTATCAGTGTTTAAAGGAGTACATGTTAAAACACTGTTTAGTCAAAGTTAAACATGATCAAAGTACATTACTGGCCCTTCGAGGGCCACCATAATGCTCATGTGGCCCTCGGTGAAAATGAGTTTGACACCCCTGCAGTATGCAGTACTACAGAAGCTGGTCTGTTATGGTGAAGGAGCTGAGCTGTAAGACAAAACTGTCTTACTGCTCAGCCTACATTCCTACCCTCACCTATGGTCACAAACTCTGGGTAGTGACCTACAAAACAAGATCATGGATACAGGAGTCGAGTCAAGTCTCAGTTTTAGTTTGAGGTTATTCATTTCCAAAATGCACAGAGGACTTGAACATTACACCTGCTCATCACATATAAACTTCTTTGAATGTGACTTCAAAATGCTTTGATAATCATCTCAAAACACAAACAGCAGAAATACCATCTGTAACTTCCAGACCTAATGAATTTCAGCCAACAGCCCATACAGGGGGTAAAAAAAGTATTGAATACGTCAACATTTTTCTCAGTAAATATATTACTAGAGGTGCTAATGACATGAAATTTTCACCAGATGTCGATAACAACCCAAGTGATCCATACATACAAAGAAATCAAACCATAAATGTACAGAAATGAAGTTATTTGTAATAATGTGGAATGGCACAGGGAAAAAGT